AATGGAACTCTGTACCGACCCCTCTCTCTCTTCGTTTCAATCTTATAACAAGTTTGAACAACAACTGCCAACGAAAATGCTATAGGTGTCAGAATTTTGAACAATGAGAACAGTAAAAGCGGCAGAAACATACAAAACGGAAATACCTTAAACATTCACAAAACAGTTTCATACACACACAGCGTAAACAGATAGATGGATATAAGCTGATAATTCGATAAGGCACTGAAATAACAATAATAATTCTAATCATAACTGATATTCACATTGTAAACGTGTCCAAAACTTACAGCGAAAAGATAAATAGTGTAAATTACAATAGTGACACGTTTATGAAACAGTTAACAGTATGGTGTATTTTATTGATTTTATACAAGATACATGCACTAAAATGTACAGTAAATAATTATAATTATTGAAACAGAAATAACAATCAGCATTTATTCAGATCAAAATGTTTAAATAAAATTAATCCAAAAGACTCATCGATGAATGAATGTGTAGCATTTACATTTAAATGTTGACATATAATCCTATAGATAAGTAAAGATCTTTCAAAACTTTCATAAAAAAAAGAAAAATTACAAAGGATAAAGGGAAGAGAGAAGAATAATGTGAAACAATTAATTCATCAGAGTATATATATATATATATATATATATAAACTAATTGGAACTAACATGATGGCAAACACACTTACAAAGAGAGACTGAGAAAGAGAGAGCATCAGGATTCCATGGATGTAAGTAAAGAAACTCATTGAAAGACATCTTTTATTTGAACTCAATTAAATGTGAATTCGATAGGACATTAGTAAGGTGATCATAACAACCACAACAGAAAGAAGACGTCTCATCATCATCATTATCATCATCATCATCATCATCATAACCTGTACAATCAAGTACCTATTGACCAATTTAAATTTAATGAGACAGGAAATGATAAAATCGATGAAAAATCTGTAGTGTTTGTCGTTGTTGTTGTATCCATTAATTCACTAACACTTAAGTTGGAATTATTATTGAATGACGACGATGACGACGATGTCAATAAAATATTCGTTAATAATTCTGTAGTTGGTGGTCTTATATGATTTTGTGAAGTCGACCCGAAATTTATCATTGAACATAAGTGAGATGATGATTTATCAGTACAATGTAGAAATCCGACACGTTTATCGTTAGTATTATTAACATCAGCAGTAGTATTGAACACATTTGATGAACTATTTTTCTTGATAGGAAAAATTCTATCTGTTGCATGAGATAAATTAGACCATAATAACGGATGGAATTGAGGACTCGATTCACTTCCATGATTAATGAACATATTAGTAGAAGTAGTAGTAGGAGTTAATGAATTAGATGAAGTGATAAATGTTTGAGAATTTAAAGTTGGATATTGTAAAAAATTATTAGATTGTAAATTAGATGACGATGAACGATGCTAAAACAATAAAAAAAAATAAACGGAATTATTAAACAGAAGTTAGAAAGCACGCAAAAGACATATATAAACAAATAAATGATAATATGAATAAAGCCAGAACAAACATGGATGCGGAATAGTATGAATTCATTATATTTTGTAGTTCCTCATCAACTGCTTACAACCAAATATGTATTAAAATTTTACACTGACTTAAGATATAATGTGAAACAATTAACATAAGTGAATAAAAAGAATTGGAATGAAAAAGGTTATCAATAATAACTACATATATGTGCAAGAATAGGTTGAAGGTCATTCGGTGTTAGAATAAAAAAGTATGAATGGGTGCTGTAATAATTGAGTGAAATTAAGAGACACATAAGATAAATGATGTAATTTTAGAGGTAATGATGGGTTCACACAAGATCCCTGGAATTGAAAAGACTGGTAAGATTGGTTGCGTAATAACAGGATTTGAAGAGTTCACGTGATTTAAGGGAATCGAATGAATGGAAATGTATGAGTGAAGGAATGGTTTTAATATACATAAAATAAGAATTCGGTAATGGGAGAGTAATATAACAAAACTAATGATCAAAAAATGAATTATCAGAGTAGTAATAGGTTTAATACTGAATCTTTTCGGATACATAGGTTTGAGTGTTTTTAAATCGTAATTGCTTCAGCAAACTGAAGAGAATCTGTTTCTTTGTCTGCTGATAATTTTGAAAACCTGAAGAATGTCAATGGTATGCCTGGTGTGAAGTTAATACCGAGCTATTGCACTGTTGAGAGCGCTTGCTCCTCGCAGTCTCAATTTCTTTGGATTTATTTGTTTGAACACAAAGACAATTAAAATGAAATGACAATTTCTTTGGAACATGCTTGGAAATGCAAACATGTACTCCTTCCAATGTATGTGCTTTGGCACGTACATGTAATTTGGTAAATGCAATTGAGGCTACTGAGAAAAAAACCTGTCAATTTTAGTTTGTTTGAGTGAGCAGTTCGTTTCCCATAATGTCATCAGTTTTGATGATGGGCAAGTCACCTTCAGCGCGGGGTTTATCCGGTGATTAATTATTCCAATCATTTCATCTCCTTTAAAGCGCGAGTATAAGAAGCAGTTTTTCTTTTCAACTGTTTCGTATTTAACCCGAAGGTTGGTTTAGACATACTTCTCGATGAACTTTGTCAGATATGCATTTTCATGTAGGTAATTTGTAATGAGAGAAATTTCATCTTCTGGATATTCCTTTAAGCAGATTTTGCGTGCGCGGTCAAAAGAGGTTCGTACAATACTCTTTTTGTAACTCATTGGACAGAAATTGTTGCAATTGAGATAGACACCACTCCAGGTATTTTTGTGGTAAATGTGTCTTGGTAATGTGCCGTCTGAGGTTCGTCCTATTTTAATATCTAAGTAATGGAGTTTACCTTCTACTTTGTGTTCCGTAATAAAATATATATTCTTGTGTGCTTTGTTAAACAGATTAAGTAGGTTCATGGAATGCTTATGATTGTTACAGACGAGAAATGTGTCATCAATATATCTACAGTAGAGTGTAGTCCCATCGATTGCGTGCTTGAGCTTCCTATGTTCTAAGTTTCCCATAAATATGTCGGCTGGAATTAGACCCGAAGGGCTACCCATGGCTGCTCCATAAATTTGGCGGTACAACACATTGTTCAATTTGAATTGTATGTTTTTTGTACACAGAAACAGGAGCTGCTTAAATTCGTGGATTGGTAAAGACAGTAGTTCAGGATATTCGTATATGATATCTGCCGTTCCTTCCAAAGGGATCTTTGCCAAGAGTGATGCGAAATCAAACGAGATCATGAATTTGTCGGAAGCATTTAGGCTACCAATTATTACATCACCCATTCATACTTTTTTATTCTAACACCGAATGACCTTCAACCTATTCTTGCACATATATGTAGTTATTATTGATAACCTTTTTCATTCCAATTCTTTTTATTCACTTATGTTAATTGTTTCACATTATATCTTAAGTCAGTGTAAAATTTTAATACATATTTGGTTGTAAGCAGTTGATGAGGAACTACAAAATATAATGAATTCATACTATTCCGCATCCATGTTTGTTCTGGCTTTATTTAAATTTATAAAGGGAACTAATTGCATAAATGATAATATATATGGAAAAATAATATAAACAGATTATTATCACTCAGTAAACCCATTAAACTAGAGCCTTTTTAGAATTACTGCCGACCCCAAGGAGGAAGGTTCTGTATGTGATTAAGAACTCCATCTTGTAAAAAAGAAGCTCATCACAAATATGCTAACCAGAATAAACCAATCATTCCATCTAAACTCTGACTTGGGTGTTCAAGTTTCTTTATTTGGAAAAGTTATAAAGCCTTATGGTGAAAACCGATTTTCTTTGGAAATCACGATTACCATGACCATTCTGACAACCAGAACAACAATCAATAGAGATGTATGGAATGCTCTCAAAATGTGTGGGACAAGGAAGACCATTCAAGTAGAAAGGGAAATGAGAAAATACAGTCTTGCTTTGCTCGGAATACATGAAACTCATTGAACACAAGCTGGACACAAAATAATAAGTTCGGGAGAGGTTCTGTCGTATTCTGATTATGAAGAAAGTACCTCACACATACAAGAGATTGCACTGATTCGCTCCAAAAAAACACGAAAACCACTCATGGGATGGGAATCTCATCGATCCAGGACTATCAAAACATTTTCCAAAACAAATATTTAAGGAGTTACAATGAATGCCGTCAATGATGGCAGCGAAGACGAAAAAGATCAGTTGGTGAGAGTCTGGTGTCCATTGCGAAGAGATGTCCGAGAAGAGAACTGATCATCCCAGTGAGGAATCTAAACGTCAAGGTCGCGTTCGATAACATCGGGTATGAAGACCTTGAGTATGCGGATGATATTGTCTATCTGTGCGATAATACCCAGGCCATACAATGCGCACTCAATCAGTTGACAATCAGTGTCCGCAGGTATGATATGTGCTTTGCACCTTCGAAGTGCAAAGTTCTTTCACAAAACTGGCAGGACCTTGACCCTGTACTCACCTTAGGTAATAAGCAGATTGAAGTAGTCGAGAAGTTCGTGTACCTGGGTAGCTACATAAGTGCTGGTGGTGGCGTTAGTGATGAGATCAATTCACGTATAGTGTAAGCCAGAGAGGTTTATGCCAATCTGGGTCACCTTTGAGGAAGTTAGACAACTCTCTGTGTTCGATCATCGTTGTCTCCGAAGGATTGCTGACATCCAGTGGCAACACCATGTTAGTAATGCAGAGATTCGGCATCGTGTGTTCGGGCACAGAGACAATAATTCAATTGGTGTCACCATCTTGAAACACCGACTTCGATGGCTTGGACATGTTCTACGAATGTCATCCCAGAGATTTCCACGTCGTGCATTATTTGCCGACTCTGGGACTGATTGGAAAAGGAGGAAGTGGTCAGTGTTTGACATGGTGTCGTGGTATGGAAGAAAGCTGTGCAGGACTGGCTTCTGTTGGTCCTTCACGACTCCCTGGCTGGGGTCCGAGAGATGGTGCAACACAGTGGCTCAGAATAGAAGCCAGTGAAGATCCCGCTGTAACCTGTTTTACTTCCCTCATAAAAAGTGGTCGTAACTTCCTTGATTGAAAGAATTCTTTCTGGTTAGACCTTTCCGTTTCCCCCATTATTATTATTATTATTACACGCCCATACACTAATCTGTGGTCGTCATTGTTTATTTTCTTCCTTATACACATGTTATATTCTTTTTCTCTTCCCATTCGCATTGTTGTTTGGCGCATATACATCTGGTGCCCCTTGTACCAATATTTACGTGTTCAAATAGATAAATATAAATAAATAAATAAACTCTAGATTAATCAACCAGAGACCGTCAGCAATAACCTACTGCGGTAGAAAGCAAATCACTCACCAGTTGAGAAAATCATCAAGAGATACTGTTAAAGTATATGACAAATTTTGTAGAAAACTCCATCACAAGACAACTGCTAACTTGGAATTCTCAAAAAAGGGAGAGGAGGTATATCAAAGTACACATAGAGACAGGAAGTATGGCAGATATCAAGACATAAGAAGACAGAAACCTTTTTAGGGCCTTCCTAGAATGATTACGGACTTATATAAACTAGGGAGTCAGTGAAAAAAAAGAAGCATTCGACAGCTATACACCCCACCTTGATACCTATTAAAGAGTGTACAACCAAGTATATACAGTGAATCTAATCTGAAAACGTGGTTTCATGTAAAATACAGAAGCTTAAGATCGCTTAGTTTGAAACGCTGTTTTATATTTTTAACTACTATCAAGATGAAAAATAGAGAGTAAATTCATTTCTTAGTCATTTCGAACTACATCACATCATGGCAATCAATGTCCATAGCCACTGATTCCTATAATAATGAGAATAACAGACACTTAAGAAATCGATATTTCCATATACAACTCCGGATAATTAAACACGTTTATTCTCTACATAAAGACACTCATTTCATCACCAGGAGCTTTTTCAGCTCAACTATTCTCCAAACATTATTCCAAGGTTGACAACCAAACAAGAAGAGTGGAAATTTTAATCGAAACCTATAATGATTAAAATGATACTAGGTAAGCCTTAGTAGCATGTTTAAAAAATACTATCATCTCAAATTTTTACAACGCTCGACCTCTTAACGATGTGGTCAACAACAATGAAACTACACAAAAAATAATTCAGAGTACAAGAGGGAATACATTACTATACAATTCACACAACAATTACACCTTACATTATTAACAGGTATTCTTCTTAAACTATCTGATAACTGAACGGGCAATTGATCTCTGTCCATTGATGAATAATTGATATTTGATTGAATAGTAGAAGTCGGAGAAACAGTACTACAAGCTATTGGTCTCATCGAGGTAGCAGGAGGAGCAGAAGCGGGAATAGGAGATGGAGTAGTATTAGTGGTGGTGGTAATAATAGTAGTCGTCGTGGACGTAATAACGGGAGAGGAAGAAATAAAAGAACAAGACAATGAAGTAGTGTTATTCCCACTACTTTTACAGTTATCAGTTGTATTTCTAACTGTATGATATGATGCATCTGTAAAATTCATTGTATTATTATTACCTGTTATAGGCATATTTATAATAAAATAACAGTAACACGATAAGAGAACAAATTATACAATCAACAATTGACATAGTTATTGAAACACAAATATGCACGTACACACGATAAATATCACCAAACGCGTGACTCTCATAACCAATGGTTGGAGACTCTGTGTGACATGGCTCAGAATCGATCACAATGGCGTAGGTGTATACACTCTTTGTCTTCCCTTAAACTATGACATTGAAAATGCTTCATATCTTTCTTTCTTCCTGTACTATATCCTTATATACAATCTTTATTTTATATATTACCACCATTAAATTAACTACTCCTATGAATTCGGTGTTCATCTTGTTGTGCTAATGAGATATGGCAACTTGGACCGATGCATAAACGTGCCTGGTCCTACGTTGTAGCTGACTGACTGACTGACCAAATGTTAAATTTACATGAAATTAATAAAAATTCTCTATGATATCTGACAATTAGTTAGTTTGAAAGGAAAGTTGCTAAATGTGAACACTGAACGCTTGTGAAATTGATTTTTGGTAAATTATTTTACTAAAGTTAAAATTCCGAACTAAGGGCATTGATTTGCCAAATACGTTTTGTGTGTTTCCCTAATTCTGTGAAATTTTCATGGATAACCAATGATATTGTTTCTTAAAAACAGCTGTAAATTGGTGATTTAACAAGATTCATGAAATAAACAAAATTGATTTTTATTATGAAGTATCACGAAAAAAATTGACAATCTCTCCTTCTCTTAACCATCTCAAACGTCACGGGAATTATATTCCATATTTAAAGTACGAAAACTGCGTTTGTTAAAGTGTTTCTCAAGATGACCTTATTAATTAAATAATAATATCATTCATAACAGCGAAAAACGCTCATCCAGACTCGCTTTCCAAAAGGCACGAATAATCCTATGAACAAAAACAGTTGAACATCTATGGAATAAATTGGTGAGACTTTAGAGATGGAAATCTGGACTAAGTCCTCAAAAGACTTTTTAAATATGACGGTTTTACAACCGAAAAAATTGGTTGACATATCACCGTCAAACTATATTGCTCTTATTTTAACGCTTTTTAAAACGTCCTCTTTTCAGTTTGCTAATTTTTTAACATTCTGTATTTTATCGTCCCACATGAAAACACTTAGTTGTAAACTTAATCAAACAAACCAACTTTTTCTTTTGGATTAGAAAAGTTCAAAAAAATAAGCCAAATGGGGTATCTTCCCTGTTTATTGCTCATGATAATCGATACTACTGAGAGTATCCAGCCTAGTTCTAACCAATTAGTAGATGGATTAATTGAATTGCAACTTCTGTTTTTGCATAAATATAGCATGTTACTTCCTTTTTCATGACAAAATTGACAAACTACTGGTAAAAACAGCATGTTTTAGGACCCGACAATCTACATAACTTGTCTACAGAACGCATAGGTAGGTTTCTGACCTGAAAGCATTTCAAACTTCAATAATATAATGAAGTAGTTTCGAGAGAGAAAAGATTACACACACGAGAAAAGCCAAATAAGCAAAGACCGGACAATAAATTATACTTTGAACTGAATAAAAATTTGATAAAGCATTTGGATTTGTAATGATCATACCATGGTGGTTATTACTGTTCATTTTCGCGTTAGAAGAATCAACAATAGTAGAACCAGTAGTGGTAACGGTATTAGTAGTTAGCATTGATTGCCCAGAAGTATCTTCCACAACACTATTCCATAATTCAAAAAGTATATCTGTAGTCATTGGTGATGGGAGTTGTTCCAGTGGATTACTAACAAGAAGAAAATAGTTAATAAGTATAATTAAATCCAAAGATTTGGTAGTTCGAAATTTCTGACTAAACGCTAAGCGAGAATATACATTCTTAGTGAAACGAATTGATGATGCATATCTCCCTTACCCTAAATAAACAATTCGTCTTTAGTGTTCATTTTTCAGATCTTATAATATTAGAATAGAGAGATTATGTTGACTTATTACATACATCAATTTTAAAAAGCCTCAAGTAATCTGGTTATAAACTCTGATATATTTTCTATGTAGGTCAATATAATCCATCCGTTTGTTCTCCCAAATGAGTTCGTGATTGATAATGACTTTGATAATTATATTAGGATATATTTGTATAGATAGCCAGACTTCCGGTAAGGTCGCACTTTCTGAGCTAATAGAATCCAACACTATCAGAATCCATTCCTGAGCTATAAACCATTTCCTACTAGCCCAGCCTCAAATCTGAAAGACAAAAATATCAATAATTCTTCCACATTTGTTAGCATGGCAGATCAGGTATAATTTGCCTTCATTAATTCGAGGTTTCGTACATAACCAATTTTGTAGCTCACGATAAAATCAGGGTAGGTTGGCTTTCGATTTCATTCAGTCTCTAGTTTTCCGTATTCGTCCTGATGACCAACACATCTCGAAATGAAATTTGTAACTTGATTCGTTTTCTAATGTAAACTTAGTGTTTAAATGTTGTTTATCAAATAAATCATGGATGCTTTTCAACTATAGTTTACCTCGAATACATCATATCCAGAAGTACATCCATTCATTATTCTGCTTTGACAGGAACAACAACCGATACACATCAACATGATGATCTTTTATACCGATCACATCAATTCAGATGCCGATAATGATGAAGGCTCTAGTTGTATTTACATGTAATACTAATTACCATATTTGAGAATATGAAGTGAACAAGCCTTAACTTCCCTTTTAAGAAACAGGACAATAAAAATATTGACTTAACTACCCGTTGCTTTTGAACAGTATTGACAGAGGATGAATTGTTTCACAGACTTATTTGTCAAAAAACATTAAAAAGGTAAAAATTATGAGGACATGTACAACAACAAAGAAAGTAATTAATTTGTTACTTACTCATACGCACAAGATTTCAAATGACCAGAAACAGGTGAATTTTGCAAGTCAGAACAAATTTGTTCACCATCATCTTCATTACGGCGATGATTCAACATTTCGTCATTGTTCAATATTAATTGTTGCTCATGATTAAATAATTCATGACTACTACTATTATTATTACTACTACTAGTAGTAATGTCTGTAAATTCAACACTCCCGTGATCATCGAATCTCGACTCAGGTGTCATAGGATAGGAATCAGAGAAAAAAGAAATTCCCGGTGTTCGTAATGTATTACACGTAGTATAATTCGTTGTATGACCACAACTCAATTGTTCAAATAAAAACGAACTAGAATCAGTTGATAAGATCGATTCTGTATTGGGTGAAGATAAACTATTTGTTAGAATTGAACCACCAAGTCGTCTTAAATAAGAGTTTAATAAATTTCGTTCAATTTTAAAATCAGAACTCGACGAATCGTTTGATTCAAAACTGAAACAAAATGTAAAACAGGTACCAATTACTTAAATTAGCGAGTTGAATTGTAAATGAACTAATCTAGTAAATATTTTAGGCTAAACACTGGAACTAATTTTTATGTAGAATTTTCTCGACTGAGTCGAGCACCAATTTAAGTTTTGAACAAAAGTAACTCTAGGTGATTATTACTAGGCTTTAGCTCATGTAGGTTTCGCACTATTTTATTTATTGTAGATCACCCACTAGTTAGAAACAAGATCGCCGACTTCAGTGGTGATCGAATACCTACCAACTATACCGGACTTGATAACTTAAACGTAGGCCAAACAATTGTAAATGCCGTCCTGTTTTGTGACTCATACTATGAGGAATACCTGTTAGATGAGAGCTGTATAGTTGGTTAAACATTTTAAAGGGGATTGAATGTGACTTTAATTTGCGTTCTAGTGATTTAAAGTCAAGTATTTGAATGACATCCAAGTTAGTAAAAATAAGTAGAATAAGGCATTTGGTTTGATTTTCAACAACACATTATCATTTTGTGGATACTGATCCAGTACAGTTCACTAGTTTTACTTGGAATGACATTTACACCAAAACAATCCAGTAGTACATAGCGATACACGATTCAAATACATAGAGAAAATACATAACATGGTGGCGACGATGATAAGATGACGCAACCCAATGGATAAAAATAAACATTGCTAATATTCAGTATATTCTAAGTGATTATTGCAGTCTAGTAGATATTTTAACAGCTTTGAAGAATTGCTGAAAATACATAGTCGAACTTGTGAATTTATCAGTCGATACACGAATACAATAAAATATTTGTTAGTTCGGTTTTAACACACTTTATATCATCGTAGAGAATAAAATTGCGTTTTAGAGTGAATAATTAAGCTTAGAGAATAGCCAACAGATGACTAACGTTCGTATATACTGATTCAAAGTCAAATGAATAAGTGATCTTACAGTTACATGTACCATAGAGATGGTCACTTTCAAACACTAATTTTCACAATGATCAATAGTTTATGTTATCAAAGCTGTCCATCTACATAAATAACCATAACTGTAATTTCTATTGAATCGCTTTAAAACCTGACAGTTACAACGGCATATTTCTGAATTGATTTACTAATACTATCTTCTTCAATGGACTTCAAAAGAAAATACTAGTTGGACCTCTTAATTACATACAGAATAGAAATAAATTCTCAATCCTCGAATTCTACATGATTAGTATAACCTTGATATGGTGAAGCCCTTGCTCAACTACTAGAAGGTTTTTAATATGTTAGTATACTATTACTTCTGGACGTGATTAGTTTGTAAGATACCTCTAGTGTTACTTTGAAATACTTTTCATTCGGTTCGCTTACCGTTATTTCTTCTCGTAAATGCACTACTAACGAAATATCATTTTTTTAATAGATATGAGAACTGAGCTACTAAGATTGTTAGTCACTGAAGCAATTGATAAATAATCAATCGTTTTGTATTTAAGTGTCAACTGCCTTGAATCAATCTGGCCCTGATTTCATACCTTTATTCAGCTACTAATGGTAATAATGTGATGGAAATTCCCGTCGAATGATACTTTCATAAACTATCTCATATTCCGTAAAAAATAGGATGCAAACTACAGAACGACAATGAAGGAAGTTTTGATTTTATATGAATAACATTCTACATTATTGCATACTACACACGAGAAGAACACATGTTCATAGTGGTCTACTTCATTATCTTTTATGGACAACATATATGATTCACAAACAACTGTTCTCCTTTGTCTCACTTTTGATAATTTTCAACAATCTCCAATGATGATCAGTGATCTAAAGGTCGAGACCAAGATCTGAGAATTTTCCAGCAAGTGAAGAAACCAATCTTGTGATTAGTAGACCGAATCCTAACGACTGACTCCATTCCAAATTAAACCAAATTGCATTAGAGAACGGATTTCTTGTCTTCTGATATAGGGTGACTTACTGACATACCAGTAAAGTTAATTTTTTTCTAAAGATTGATCATGAGTGCATACCTCGTACAGATTTCGTGGACAAGGTGAGTAAGCACCTTAACAAATATTTATCGTACATTTTTATAATCCTGAATAATAATTATTTCCAAATAAAATTTAAATTAATTCATGTGAACTACAGATTAATCAACTCGATCTATTGTGTTTAGGACATATACATATGTATATATACATAGTTAAATTTAGTGGTACAATCAACCTAAATATTTTTTTCAATATACAAAAATAACCTCGAAATTCATTGATAGTTAAAGAGAGAGATAAAGAAAGCAAAATAGAGATGATCTGAATAATTTTGATGAGTGCTTATATACACATGCAGTTAATTGTATGGTGAATATTAATTAATTAACTAGCTGAAACCTAATTTTAAAATATCAACAACCACTTTACAACAAAGAAAACCACTTTAATTCCTAATGGACTAAAGGTTTACTAATAAAATCTTATGATTTAAAGTCACCGAATTATAGGGTTTAAAAATCCACCCTAATAAATGCTTCGGTTTATTTAGCCATTAGTTAATTGTATCAATAATTTATTTACTTGGTAAATAATGATTTATACTAGTTATTTAAAAATTACTCATTAACCAAACCTATGAACTGTCTTTTTGTTGCATTCTACTTTTATTCTCTCTCTCTGATTGTGATAAGTAATAATGCTTATATTCGGAAAACACAGATGTTTCTTTACCATTATTCATAATACCATCACGACCAACAAGTTGTAGATTAAAATGTGTGACCGAATGATAAAAAAAACACTTGTGCATACACTTTGTTATTTGTAAAGATTTGTATTTTCTTCTGGTGGATATTAAAAGCTGAATTAATTGGCATCTGTCAGTGTATATAAGGGTGCTTCTGAAGCAAATGTCACAAGTTCGTCTGAATATAAAGAGTGATTAGCATAACCATATATTATATGTGTCTCATTCTAAGTGGCAACTCTAACAATTAGATCTACATGCATTCCAGTGTTGATCTTCCCACTGAGACTAGAATCTTTAGTAAAATAATATACTTATTGAATAAGTTACAGATATCTTGATCAAGTAATCTAGTGGATAGCATTCTTTGACAAAATCGATAACGAAGAACACTCAGCTAATGAATAATAAATACAACAAAACGTGTATTCTTGATTTCATTATTAGCCCCCCAAATGCACTGGTACGGCCGAGGGTGAGGAGAGTCAGCTTTCCCTCTCGAAATGCTCTCACATGGCCACGGGTATATAGCCACTGCCTTCTTGCGGCGGGGCTGTCGTTTACGAAATTACGAGGACGAAAAGCGAATGTCCGGCAATTTAACCGGGTTGGCAGATACGCAGGATCCACCTAGGGGAGTTGAAAAACCCTGATTCCAAACCAATCGTGCACATGAGCTTCAAGATCCTAAGGAAACAAATGGCATATGAACCTACTGTTGTTCAATGGCTACCATGGGATTGCATCTCCGTACGTTGTTCGATTGCCTTGTGGATCAGACTTCTAGGTCGAAGGCTCAGGGATTGGCCCCCCTAAGAAAATCACCTGCTTCGGTTTGGGTGTCCGGGCAGTATCCCAGCCCTCACAAAAATCTAATGATTTATGTGGCGCATATCTGTTTGGTGCCTCCTTGTACCAATTTTTACGCGTTTGAGTGAATAAAAATTTCCTGACATTCAAATCAAAATCGTCCACCCATTGATTTTATCAATCTCCTACATGAAATCTTAGCCGTTTTTTAGCAACAATTTACTCTGGACAATCATAAATTAGTTAGTCACAAAAAAACTGATACTGGTGATGATCAACTTTGAAAGTATTCTTGATTGCATGTCTACGAGTTAAGTGAGATAGTCAAGTGTTAGCTTCATTGGTACTTAAGTAAACTACGAAACCCTTACGTTTTGATCGCTCACTTTTTAATTAACGTCTAATTATATTCATTTTTGTGTTCACTATTTCGTATGTATCCGCGTTATTTGATTAGATAACCCGACCGTTGCTGCTACCTTGACGTGGTGATCGGGCTTGCCTATCGTGATAAAGCAACCGAGCTATGCTGGCTGGAACAATCGTTCCTCGAGGTCCTACCATGCCAGACAGGTCGTTTGAAGAGCGCTAAGACTAAAAGCAGCAATCCCATGGTCCGAAGGCGAAGTCGTACTGCCGACTGTACAGAGGTGTGACGGCAGTAAGGTGTTTCCTTCAGACAACCAGCATGACAGCGATGCTGCCTTCCCACAAGGAGGGGTGGGGTTAGAAAAGGTCGACCCTAAAAATGCACACCTCACCTTATCCCACGGATTTCCGTCTCTGGCGGTACGGTCCTTTGAAGAACGGAGCTAACACAAAAAGGTCGTGCGTGACCGGCCTCAAGCAGTTGTCCCGTGGGCACTGCGGTCACGCTCCCAGGTCGTTCAGACCAACACTAATCCAACTTCTTTTTCAGGTCCCTCAAGAAATAATTTTCCACGGTGTGGGCAGCCGGGAAGTGATAAATGCCCTCATACTCGTAACAGCACACGAGACCAAGTTGGTCACTTTCAAATCCTTCCTACACCTAATAACTCTGTTATCTCCACGACTAACCCTTCCCACGTCCTTTTATCACCTCGCACCGCTAGGGCAAACGATTCGAGTACACAGAACGTTATTCCTGGTCTCCTGAAACCACGCTCTAAACTACATGTAGGAACTTTTAATGTCCGAACATTGTGCCAACAGGCTTCCTTAGCTAGGACTCTAGAATCTTACACCATCGATGTGTGCTGCGTCTCCGAAACGCGCATACAAGATCCGAGTAGTGTCATTCATTCGACCGCACCTAATCAAAATAAAGTTTCATCTCGATACACGCTTCGTGTATCTGGAAGCCATGATGCTGCTTCCCGTGGCCTCGCTGGAGTAGGTATAGCATTAAGTCGTAGGGCAAAACTAGCTCTTTTAGACTGGATCCCAGTAGACAGT